AATTACTAACTTAGTGTACAGTTCAGGTTTTCTGGCTATTTTTTAGTCAGTTTTGGCAGTTTCTATCTTTCTAATAATCCGTCCTTTTTATCTAAGTGGTCTAACTTATTGGCTTCAGGTTTTTCAGAGTGTTCACTTATAATGCTTTTTGACTTCGTAAGGATCATTAGTAATAATATCTCTTTTGTTCACAATTTTGCTAATTTATCTCATTTCTCATAATGTCTGTTTTGACTGTTAGTCAAGAAAACAGGCAGAGGCAGCAGGTGGCTCTGTGACAGAGTCCCTAATGGGAAGGCTTTGATCATATGTAGCTGGCAAGCCAGACTGATGCCAGCAACCCCAAAGGAGCTGCCAGTGAATCTTGACAGGAAAGTCACTGACTCTGGATTGTGCTATGCTCAACCAGGGGAAGATGTCAGTACTTCAAGGGCTGTGAAAGAACCGGAAAAGGAGAGATTGGACAAATCTGAACTGCTGAGTTCCATTTCTTTACACAAGAAAGCACACTTTACAGCCTCAAACTGCCAACAATGCACAAGGAGATGTCCGCCTCAGAAGAAAACTTTGATAGAAAATTGAAACAGTCAATTAAAACATTGGTTGTCTAAAAACTGCCAAAATAATTGTTGGGCAATAGAAACATGAAGGACTGGCTTTTATATCTCCATGAATGCGCTCACTGTCAACATGGGTGGAGCTGCAAGAGTGACTCCACTAGGTAGCTCCCTCTCTTTGTCCTGATGGATCAGGATGATGCTGTTATGACTGTACATACAATTCTTCCTAAGGGGAGACGATGCTGGAATAATGACTACACTTCACCTCAAATTTCTTTTTTTATATGTGATGCCATGGTATCAGGAATAGGGATGTAAATAAAAGTGCCAGAAACAGGAATTATCCCTAAGCCAAAAACCATAACTATACTTTTACACCTTTATGTAAGAATTCTCAAGCATTCATTTCACCTGGCAAAGTTAGTATTAACAGTAAGTAGAGCTACTGGTGGTCAGATAGCCCCCACTAGTTCCTTACCTATGTAACCTACCCTCTATGATCAAGAGTAGACTTAGGGAAGACATTCTAGAATACTACTGCTGCCTGCGGTCTAGACCAGCACAGCAGACAAACCAAATGTCACTTCCAAACCTGGAAAAGACTGATATAAAGGGACAGAGGGAGGAATAGTGGCTGAGGGTAAGTGAATAAGTCAAAGGGTTATATGAGGAAAATTCAATATTAGTTTAACTCCTCAAAGATGGTGTGAGCAAAACAGATATTTTCTCTTACGTCAATTATACTGGATGCCTAAAAGTGTGAAGCCATATGTCCCTGAGACCATTCTTGTTTTTGGAACTTGGTAAGATTGAGTGGTGTCTGCAAACCTGAGTGACGTCATTCTGGGAGACATATTCTTACAAGAGGATGGTGAACTGTTCTAATTTTGAATGACTGAAGGAGAGTCTGATAACATGACAATACCTCTTTACTGTTATAATCCTTTTTCCTATAAAAGATATGTAGTCAAAGAAAAGCGGGTAATCTGAAGTATAACAAAAACATTTAGTCTTTGTCCCTGGTTTCTTCTAAAAACCTTAGACTCTTGAGTGATAAGAGTGTCTTTAGAGTACTGATGAGAAAACTCTTGTCTGAGCAGATCCTGGATATCTTGAGAATGGGGGCTGGCTGCCAGAGACACATACCTGTGATGAGAAAGTTGTCTTATTCCATATTATGTTGCTATAAAGAAATGTCTGAGACTGACTAATTTATATAAACAAGATTCATGTGACTCAGGATTCTGATGGCTGGAAATGTTTGAGCATCTAATGAGGGCCTCAGGCTGCTTCCACTCATGGCAGAAGGCAAAGGGGAACTGATATGTGCAGAGATCACACGGTAACAGAGGAACAGAGAGAGTAGCAATTTGCCAGGCTTTTTTTAACAACTAGTTCTCATGGAAAATAATAGAGCAACAATTCATGCACTCCATAGAGAGGGCAGTATCTCTCTATTCAAAAAATATTGGTTCCCATGACTCAAACGCCACCCATTAGGCCCCACGTCCCACAATGGGCATCAGATTTTAACATGAGGTATCGGGGGATAAATATTTATATCACTGCATCCTGTCCCTAGTCAGTCAAAGCTCGTGTGCTTCTCGCATTGCAAAATACAATAATTTTCTCCCAATTGTCCCAAATGTGTTAGGTTGTCCAGCATCAACTCAAAATTCCAGAGTCTCGTCTAAGATTCAAGGTAAGTTCTTAAAGCTTTGAGCCTACAAAATTTAGAAAAATGTCATTTACTTCCAAAATATTAATACAAAAGTGGAAGAGACATTTCTTACACATTTCCATTCCAAAAGGTATAAATGGGCCAAAAGAAATGAATGCAGTTTCCTCACAAGTTTGAAACTCATCATGGCAGACATTAAAAACTTAAAGCTCTAAAATAATCTCCTTTGACTCTACATTTTGAATCCTGAGCACATTGGCTGGTGCATGTGCTAGACTCATAATGCCATTTGCAGCCTCACATTTATGGCTTTGCTGAACATAACCCATATAGCTGCTCTCATGGGTGAAAACTGAATGCCTATGGCTTTTCCAGGCTGAGGTTGCACATTGCCAGTGGCTCTACAATTTAGTAGTCCTGGCAGGGGTTCTGCTGCTGCAGCTCCACTAGGAATTGTCCCGGGTATTAAATTTCTCCTTTAAATATCAGTTCTGGTTTATTTGCTCACACATATGTGCATAGGCTATTACAAGTAGCCAGGCCAAATCTTGAATACTATGCTGCTTAGAAATTTCTTTTGTCAGATACCCTTAATCATCACTCTCAAGTTTAAAGTTCCACAGATCCCCAGGGAGGGGGCAGAATGCATCCAAGTTCTTTGCCAATGCATGACAAGTGACCTTTACTCTAGGCCCCAGTAAGTTTCTCGTCTCCATCTAAGACCTCATCAGTCTGGACTCTATTGTCCATATCACTATCAGCATTTTGGTCACAACAACTTAACAAATCTCCACAACGTTCCAAATTTCCACTCATTTTCTTGTCTTCTCAACTCTCCAAACTCTTCCAACTTCTGCCTGTTACCCAGTTCCAAAGACATTTTCACATTTTCAGCTTCCTTTATAGTAATACACAAATCCTGGTGCCAACTTTCTGAATTAGTTGATTCTCACACTTTTATAAAGAAATACCACAGAGCTGGTAATTTATAAAGAGGTTTAAATTGGCCCATGATTCTGCAGGCCATACAAGAGTATGATTCTGGCATCTGCTTAACTTTTGAGAGGGCCTCAGAAAACTTTCAAGCATGCTGAAAGGTTAAGGGGAAGCAGGCATGACTGACTTGCCTGGAGCAGGAGGGAGAGAGAGCAGGGAGGTGCCACACACTTTCGAACACCAGATCTTGTAAGAACTATCACAAGAGCGGCATCAAAGAGATGACTCGAAACCATTCATGGAGAATCCACCCCCATAAGCCAATCACATCCCATCAAGCGCCACCTCCAACATTAGGGATTACAAGTGGACATGGGATTTGAGTGGGGACAGAGATCCAAACGATACCAGGGGTCATAGTGGACATGAGGGTGGGCTGGTCTCCCTGCTTCTCACCTGTCACCAGGGACACAGACACATTCAGACGCCTTGACAGAAAGAGAAGTCAGAGGCCCTTGAAGTCTCAAAGAGGAGCCATGAACAAATCTTGCATCTCAGTCCCTCACAAGGCAGTCTTAGAAAAAAAATAGTCGTGAACAAATTCAAGTCAGTCATGGTAAGTGGTGACACTGAACAGTCCAACACATTGAAAAATTCCAAATCAAAGAAGCTCCAGAACCCAGTTGTGTCCCATCTACCCCAACTCCTCCTTCACTTCAGGCCCTCTAAGGTGTCACTTTTACAAGCCTTGAGGGACACATCAGAGCCCTTGGTACTGTCCCTGTTCGGGGTGGAACAAAAACAAAATCTGGTCAGAGCTCACAGGTGATGTGACTAAAGGAGGAATTGTGGGGTGGCCAAGCTCCCCCATGGGCTCCTGTGTACAGTATCCCAAGGATCTCAGGGATCACTCTCCCACCCCTAGCACACTTACATGAAGCCTGACCACGGCTGTCATCTGTGGAAAGAAAACAAACTGTGAGAGGCCAGGGAGGAGGCAGGGCCGTGAGATCCCAGAGGAGTTTCCAGAACTGTGACTGCAGACCCAGGTCAGGATCAGGAAACCCGAGGGAAAAGGATGTGTTGAAGCTGGACCAATTGTCCTCCTGAGGTCTCTCCTTAGCAGCGAACTTCCCCTGACTTGTGACTGCAGAGAGTCAGGTTCCCATGACCACAATCAAGGTGATATATTTGTCCTTCAATATCACAGGTACTTTACAAAAGAGTAAGAGTTGACACGGCATCTGAACTGGGTAAATGTGCACGGAGATGGTGCCTCACAACTGGCAGGAAATGAGCCAGCTTCCATCTGGGCTTGAAATCCAGCAATGGAGGAAGAAAACTTGGAGCTCAACTCTTTCCTACCTGGGCTCTAGTTCTTCCACATCACAGCAGTGACCACAGCTCCGGGGACAACAGCACCAAGAACAACCAGGACAGTAATGATGCCCACGATGGGGAATGTGGGCTGGGAGGATGGCCCTGAGAAAGGAGGTGAATGTGAGGGGCCCTGACACTCAGGCCTCAGTCCTGACCCTGGTGAAGGGCTCCAGAAGGGCTTCTGCTTACCCTGGGAAGAGACATGACCCCTCATTCGTCTCCTTACCCCATCTCAGGGTGAGGGGCTCTGGCAGCTCCTCAGGCTGCACATGGCATGTGTATCTCTACTTCCCCCTAGAAGACACCACCACAGTTGCCTACTTCTGGAAGTTTCTGTACCCTGCAGGTCTGGTCCCCAGAAGTGTGCATCCTAAATTTGGTCCTCTCCATTCCTCTGTTGGGTCATTGTGATCTCCACAGGGTAGAAGCCCAGAGCCCAGCACCTCAGGGTGGCCTCATGGTCTGAGATGGGGTGGTGGGTCACACGTGTCTTTGGGGGATCTGAGGGGAAGAATCAAAAAAAATCAGGCACTTTGCATTCCCCATGAGACACGCCAGCAGCACCCGTATGACCATCCTGAGAATGGATGGGACACCCCGGGTGGGGAAGGGAGCATAGAACTCAGACACCATCCTGGACAAAGGCAGTGTCCAGGATAATCTCCTATTCCTTGGAAAGTTCTAGTCTCTAAGGCAGGAACAGAGATTTCTGGCCCTGGCCTGAGTGGAGGCCGAGGGACTCAGAAGAGCTGGAATCAGACCAACAGATACACATTGAGTGTGAGGCAGATAACAAAGGCTGAGAGGAAAATTCCTGGTGCCCCAGGCTGCTGCGGGGTCAAAGGGGACAGCTGATCAGTATTCCAGGGATTGTTTCCCTCCTTTCCCTCAGAGACTTCATTCCTTAATTGTCCCAGAGTGCAGGGCGGGCCCTCAGTCATTCTCTGGTATGGGATCTGAAACCCAGGAGGAATCTTTTCCTCAGGACAAGAGGGAGAGGGATGTTTTAGCGTTGGTCCCATTTTCCTCCCCTTCTTTTGGAAAGTGGGTCGGGGAGATCTGCAGGAGATCAGGGAGGTACCCCGTGGCCCCTGGTACCTGCGCACTGCAGCTTCTCCTTCCCATTCTTAAGGCCTTTGCTGAGCCGCTCCGGCCACCTTCCCTGCGGGTAGGTTTTCAGCAGCTCTGCATGTTCCTCCGCCAGGGCATCTGAGCCGCCTTGTCCTCTGGGGTCCAAGAGCGCAGTTCCTGGTTTAGGACAAGGTAACTGGCGCCGTCGTAGGTTATGTTCATACTCGCGGAGGAGGCTCCAGTCCGGGTCCAGGTCGCACCTGTGTATCCATTGGAGGGTGTAAGAACGTGTCCCCGGGTGGGTGACAGCCCAGGCCGCTGAGCCCCGCCTCTACCTCGACCAACCGCCAGGGATTTGGGCCTGAACTGAAAATAGAATCGGGTGTGGGCGCTTGGGGCTCCTGTCGGGACGAGGGTCTCCGCGGCTCCTGCAACCTCGGGGTGGGTCTCCGATTGTGCTACAGTGGGTAGCACTCACAAAGCTAAGTTTTACTTTCCCAGACTATGTATCTGTAACTCTGGTCTGTTGTATTTTTAAGCTATCTTTACTTCATAGTCCTGAGTTTGTGTGTGAGTCCAGGACATCACGAGTCCAGGACATCACAAGACAAAGCACAATGTGTTGCCATATATTGCAACCGGGAGCCTGTACAGAATTTAATCACCTCAAAATTGCAAGTGCTCAATGCAGCCAAAGTGCCCTTCACCAGTGCTCATGAACTGCCTTTGTTTATTTATTTGTTTATTTATTTCTAGGCAGGGTGTCACTCTGTTACCCTGGCTGGAGTACAGTGGCACGCTCATGACTCACTGAAGCCTCGACCTCCTGGGATCATGCTACCAATGCTCCTCCCTCAACCTCCCAAGTAACTGGCGCCACAGGCTTGTGCCACCACTCCCGGCTAATTTTTCTAAAAAATTATTTGTAGAGATGCGGTCTCCCTATGTTGCTATGGCTGGTCCTGAACTCCTGGGCTCAAGTAATCCTCAGCCTCCCAAAATGCTGGTATTACAGGCATGAGCCACAGTGGCTGACCATGCACCTGCCTATTTTTATGAATTATTCACATCTAAGCTATGTGCAGGTTTTATTGGGACACTTGGTATTCTTTTTTAACCTGTTTAACACAGGGAGTTAATTAGTTTTTACACAGTCCCACAGAATGTATTAAAGACCAAGGTGCAAGTAACACTGTGCCAAGTTCTGCGGATAAATGCATTAAAAATCTATAAAACACTATGTTTAAATCTGAGAATTCCACTGCTTTAGAATTCTTTCTCTCTCTTCCTTTACCTCACCTCCTGCTTCTCCAGCCCTTCTCTCTGTCCCTGTCATCCCTCAGGCTCTCATTTCCCCTTAGTATCTACCAACCTCTCACTACTGAATTGTGGCCCTTGCTCTGTCCCCTCTCCTGCTGCTCATGACTGTTCTGCCCACAGTGGTCAGCAATCCTGCTGATGTGAGTCAGATTGTGTCATTTCTTCACTTAATACCCTCCAATGGCTCCATCTCACTCTCAAGAAGCCTCTAGAATGGAAAGCACAAGCACAGGGTCTTTGGGTTGTTTTGATCAAAGTTGTGTCTACAGAATATAAAAGCATATGTGCCACATAGTAGGCACTAAGTTAATTTTTGTTGAATGAATGAATGAAATAGGATTGTGTTAAAAATTGTATCACACAAAAATCACAAAATGAATAATGCAAAGCAAGTTAGTGAACATTTGGTTTCATGCAGCTACTGTGCATATCAGTTCATAAATTCATTCCAGTGGAGAACATGTCATATGTTTAGCTGTTGAATCTGTTTATCAATTTTCTATTAGTACATAACCAATTACCACAATCTTAGTGGCTTAAAACAGCGCCCATTTATTTGTCTACATTTCCTTCATCAGAAATCCAGGCCTAGTGTGACAGATTCTTTGTTCAGGGTTTCGAAAAGCTGTACCCTCATCTTAAGATTGGGATTCTCCCCCAAGCCTATATACAGCTCATTGGCAGAATTCGGTTTCTCACAATTGTAGGACTATGGTTCCTGTTTCCTTCGGGCTATCAGAGTAGACAGTGGGGAGAGTTTCTAATTCCTATTGGCCACCAGTGTTCTTTCTCCATGATCCCTCCATTTTCAAAGCCCACAGTGGAGGAAACCCCTCACACTGAACCCCTCTACACTGTGAGTCTCTGTTCTCAGGAAGAACCCAGTCCTTTTCAGAGCTTACCTGATTAGGACAGTCCAAGCAGGATAATCCCCATCTTCAAGTCAACTGACTGGGGACCTGAAAACTATCTGCAAATCCCCTTCACAGCAGCACCTGCATTAGTGTCAACTGAGTAACTGGGGTAACGTGAGTAACCAAGGGTGGTTATTGGGGTGTCATCATAAAATCAGCCTAGCTTAGCCTGGATCTTCCTTTTGTGTTTAAATAGAACATACAAATTGGAAGTCAAAAAATAGGTCACTGTTAATGATAATAAAATATATCTTATATAGCCATGGACATTTTTCTTAAACATTAAAAGCAAATGACATGTTTGATATCTTATCATGAATTTAGAGCAAATGAAAAAGTTCAATGACAAGTCACCTAAAACTTAGCAGCTCAAATCAATTAATATTTATCACCTCCCACAGTTTCCAATGGTCAGGAATGCAGGAGAGGTTTCTCTGTGAGCTTCGGACTCAGGGCCTCTCACCAAGTTGCAGTCTAGTTGTCATCCAGGGCTGAATCATCTGAGGGCTCAGATGGGCCTGGGGATTCACAAGACACAAGAATCTCTCACATGGCTGTTGGAAGAGGCTTCAGGTTCTTATTGTCTGGTCCAGGAGGCCTCAACCTAGTCACATGGACCTTTCCACAGGCCTGCTTATGACACCAGCAGCCAGCTTCCCCCAGGGCTCATGATCCCAGAGAAAGAGAGAAGCAAAGTAGAAGCTGCAGTGAATCTGGTGTTCTACACCCAGAGTCACAGATTATTATGTCAGCATTACTCTATCAGTTAGAAGTGAGTCATTAAGTCCAGGCCACACTCACAGGGAGGGAATGAAGCTGCACCTCTGGAAAGGAGGAGAATCAAAGAATTTATATGCATGTTAACAGCAAAATTAACATTATTGTTTCAGGATTTTGTAAATCAAATACTTCTTGTATCTGACTAATTTTCTTTAATAGCTTAAAATTCTTTTTTGTAATGATTAAAAATTTGAGACAGAGAAAGGAGATACAACAATATCTCAGAATTTTTTGCAAATGCCTTTAATATTAATGCTCTCTTTGATGAGTTGCAACAAAGTTAAGGAAAATACAGTAGCTAGATCACAGCGTCCCAAGACTTTGATGCCATGAAATAATGCCTTTAATATCATAACTACCTTCGTTTTTCTTCAGAAGTTTAAGAATGGCCAAATTCAATTCAGTTTAAGAATGGCCAAAATGCAAATTTTCTTACTCAAGCATCTACAAAAATATTTGCCTAATCAGGGTGCTTTGCAGTTAGAAAATTGTGAGTCTCATATCTTTGCCTGTGTAACTAGCTTAGTTAGCATCATGACAGTGATTTGGTCTGATGTGGTAGATGGAAATGGTTAACTTCAATCTAGGAACAAGATTTTTCAATAACTGGCTATTCAGTGAGCATCCTATGATCAGTTTAACATCTTTCACTGTGTTTTTTAATTAGATGTGACAGAAATGATTTGGACTCCAGTATGATTCTGAAAAACACTGTTATTTTGTGCTTCTAAAAGCAGCTCTTTTGTGTTTTCCTTTCTTATTGCTATTTTATTATTTTGCTCAACAATGCTTTTTCTCTATTCTGTAAAAGTTTAATTCACTTGTATGTGTGGTAACACATGAGTAACATATCAAATTCTCAAATTCTTTGCAAGATACAATTACCTTGCACATCAAATTGAACATTGTATATCAGAAAATGTAGAGAGTTGCCAATTAGCCAAGGATCAAATGACCTATTTCTAGCCAAGGCTATTTTTCATGTTTTTCATGGCATCCTGGTCCTCTCTGTTACATGGCTCCTTACAATTGGCTGTGGCTTGTTTTTGTTGTTGTGGTTGTTGTTTGTTTGTTTGTTTTGAGATGGAGTATGGCTCTGTTGCCCAGGCTGGAGTGCAGTGGCACGATCTCAGCTCACTGCAACCTCTGCCTTCTGGGTTCGAGCAATTCTCCTGCCTCAACCTTATGAGTAGCTGGGATTACAGGCACCCACCAACACATCCAGCTAATTTTTGTATTTTTAGTAGAGACCAGGTTTTACCACGCGGGTCAGGCTGGTCTCGAAATCCTGATCTCGTGATCTGCCAGCCTCCAGTTTGACCTGTTTTTTTTTTTTAACTTCACCGTACAAAGAACTCACACTCTATGTATTCTTCTGTGATGCATGTTGTGTGTAGGAGAGTTATCTCTGATGCAGCATGATGTTTTTCCTTTTAATTCTTTTTTTTTGAGATGGAGTTTCGCTCTTGTTGCCCAGGCTGGAGTGCAGGGACACCATCTCACCTCAATTCTCAAAGTGCTGGGATCACAGACGTTAGCCACCATGCCCAGCCAGCTGCGGCTTTGTTTTACCAGGAGTAGTTATTGCTAAGGATCCTTGTGATGAACTTTGATGTTTTCTTTTGTCTTTCATTTCCTTTTTTTTTTTTTTTTTTGACACAGAGTCTTGCTCAGTCGCCCTGGCTGGAGCGCAGTGGCTGGACCTCAGCTCACTGCAAGATCCGCCTCCCGGGTTTACGCCATTCTCCTGCCTCAGCCTCCCGAGTAGCTGGGACTATAGGCGCCCGCCACCTTGCCTGGCTAGTTTTTTTTGTATTTTTTAGTAGAGACGGGGTTTCACCGTGTTAGCCAGGATGGTCTCGATCTCCTGACCTCATGATCCACCCATCTCGGCCTCCCAAAGTGTTGGGATTACAGGCGTGAGCCACCGCGATCGGCCTTCTCTTTCATTTCCAAATAATCAGGAAAGGCACACAAGGTGCATTTTGAAAAATGCCACTATTGTTTTGTTTTTGTGGGCCAGGAGCGGTGGTTCATACCTGTAATCTCAGCAATTTCATAGGCTGAAGTGGGTGGATCATCTGAGGTCAGGAGTTTGAAAGCAGCCTGGTCAACATGGTGAAACCCGTCTCTACCAAAAAGAGAAAAATTAGCCAGGAGTGGTGGTGTGTGCCTGTAATCCCAGCTACTTGGGATGCTGAGGCAGGAAAATCCCTTTAACCCAGGAGGCAGAGGTTGCAGTGAGCTGAGATTGCACCACTGTGCTCCAGCCTAGGCAACAAGAGCAAGACTCAAAATAAATAAATAAGTAAAGTTTTATGATCAAGTAGCTAACTACCTGGGCATCCCCTCCTGGCATAAGAAACAGAACCTATGAAGCCACCCTAGACTGTTGTCAAATCCTATCCCCCAGAAGGAACCTATATCTTGAGTCTTGTATTTATTATTCCTTTGCTTTGTCACTAAATATGTTTACAATAAGTATATATATACCCAAATCACAGTTTGACCTGTTTTTTTTAACTTCCACATACAGAGAACTCACACTCTATGTATTCTTCTGTGATGCACGTTATGTGTAGGAGTGTTATCTCTGATGCAGGAGGCTGCTTTTCCATTTAGTTGTCTTTTTTTTTTTTTTTTAGATGGAGTTTTGCTCTTGTTGCCCAGGCTGGAGTGCAGGGGCGCAATCTCAGCTCACTTGATCTCAGCTGCTTGGATAAGCTCCATCCTGCATCTTTCCCTGTCACCCCCAGCACCAAGGATCTGAGGGATGGTGACTGACTGCATCACAGCCTGGGTCTGCTGCAGTATCCTTTCTTGTCCAGGCCCCACTCAAAGCTGGCCTCCTATATTACCCAGAGAGTGGGCCAAAGCAATATACTTAGATGTGGAATGCGGTGTTGCCAGAACGCAGAGAGGATCACCAGGTAGTGTGCATCCTTCCTTCTGGTGAGGATGCAAGATGAAAGTGTGTCTTTTACTTTGCAGGGGAGAGCCCTGCATGCCTGTAACCACTGGACCCATAATACTTCACTGCAGTGGCCACTCTTGAAACTCTCTAAGGTTTATCTTCACCTTCTGTACTGCACATGTTTTGCCAAGGAATTCAGTGTACTCTCCTCTTCTTGCTCATCCATCTTGATTTATGTGATATTGCCAATGAAATGAACAGATTTAGTATTCTGCGAGATATCTGATTTTTCCAGATCTCTGAAGGTGATATTTATACAAGGCTGAGGAGTTACGGTAGCCCTGAGGCAAGCTATCAATAAATATATTAAAAATCCCATGTGAATGTGAATCATTCCATACCCATTTTCTAAATGGAATGGAAAGAATGCACTCACTAAATGCATGGCTGCCTGCCATGTGCCTGAGGCATTATCAATCTCCCCAAGTACTGATATCCAGCTGCAATCAGGGCTCCTATTTGGTCAAGTCTGGAGTAATTCCATTCATTCTTGATCCATATCAGGCTTCTCCAGGGACAGATGGCTGAATTATACGGAGATAATAGGCAACCCCAACATCACCCCATCTTTCAGATCTCTAATGGCAGTGCTACCCCTACAGTAACCTCCACAAGACCCACCTGGGGCACAATATTGCTTCTGGCTAGGATGGGACGAGGGAAGTTGTAGAGGATTCCCTTTGAGCTTCAGCACAATGAGAGCCCTTACTTTCCAGACTAGGGACGCAGTGTGGGGGTGACCAAAGCTGCCAGTGCATGAAGGCCAATTATGCATGTGGGGAATGGGGAGATAACCAGGACTGGGTTTATGGACCCAGTGGTCCCACTGTGGGCCACAGTGTGTCCAGGTTTATTTCCTGGCCTCCTTAAGCCCCGCTGTGGATTCTGAATCTAAAGCTTGGCTGAAGTCTAGGAATTGAGACTGGGATCATGACTTTGTATTTGGTCAAACACCCTCGGCCTCCTGCTCCTCAATTCTTGCATTCTCATCATAGATATGAAGCAGTGCCCTCGCTGGCCGCCCATCTGTTCTGACCCTGGGACACCACCTTTTATTAACCTTCCCCACAACTCCTTGAGGGCCGAGCCCCCTCAGCTGCTACTCTGGGTTCTCACAGTCACCGTGCCCTCTATGTTTTGCAGGTCACTGCAAAGGAGTGTTCCTAAAGCATTCACTCCTGATCCTAAGGGAGGCGGGTGCACCCACTCCAGGTCTCAGGTCCGCTACAGAGAATCAAAAACTCCTCACATTCAAAACTGTCCTGGGCCACATCCAGCCCACGAGCCGTGGGTTGGACAAGCTTGCATCTAGAATGTATGTACCACAACGCCAGTAATTTTTCTATTTTTACTTTAGTGATGCTTTCTAAATGCAAAAGCAGTCATATCCCTGGCAGACAACAAATCTCAGTTGAATGAATGATCACTGTAGAGCATCTCTCTATTCTAAAGGCAGTATCTTTATTAATGTAGCGTCAGGGCAAATGCTGTTTTGTGGCAGCTAAAGAACAACATCATTTCACGTGGACATCGATGCCGCCAGTGCTTTTCTCACCAGGGCTGCTTGTGCATCCTCCCTTCCTTCCCCCTCCTCCCACACCAACCCTCCTGCACACTGCAGCACACAACCATATTTTTCTCTTCAGGAACAATAACCCTAGCCTTATGGGTACAATTTTCCAACCACATATGAATCTAAATTAGACTCTGCTTTATACATCCATGAGTTTGGATTGGAGCCAGCGCTAGGATTACTACAACTCAGGGCAGGAAGATGAGTAGGACGGCAGAAGAGGAGCTCCAACAGAAGGTTACCTGTGATGAGAAACTAGGGGACCCATCCTCTGCAAATTTCAGAATCCGGTTCCTTTAAAACGATTGGAGACAAGATGGAATATACAATCCAGGAAAGAGCCCTGGGAGGAGGGCAAGATCTGGACAGGTCTGAACATTTATCTCTTGATACCACAAGGAGATTTGTATGCAGGGACCGCCCTAGGTGACATCCAACTCCCTGTGATCACAGGTCTTGGTGGGACAAGGTTCTACTGAAAGGCCAAGGACAATAAAGGAGCAAAGATGACTCAGCCAAGCAGTGACCACATAAAGCCCGTGGTGGCCGGAACACAAACTGGGCACAGCCCCATCTACTCGCCTCCCCTGCCACAAATCAGCACAAGGAACACGTGGACTCTGGAAGGTTCTCAGGTCTTCCATTTATTTTGTCTCTCAAATTTCAGGAATCTTCTCCTTTAATTAACTCATTAACCTCTCATGGCAAGAATTTGAAAAAGTAAATTTATACTCAGGTTCTAATTGTAATAGGGAAGGAAGAAGTTACAGTTCAGTGCACCATGAAGTTGAGACAGTGATAGAGACACCCCAGCCCAACCTCCCTGGAACAGGAAAGATAAATGGGGAAGGAACACAGGTCAGCGTGGGGAAGAGGGTCATGGTGGACACGGGGATGGGGTGTTCTCCCCACCTCCTCACATTATGCCTACAGGAACACAGACACATTCAGGTGCCTCTGCAGAAAGAAAGTCAGGGTTCTTCAAGTCACAAAGAGAAGGTGTGAACAAATCTTGCCTCTCAATCCCACACAAGGCAGCTGTCTCACACTATAGAAAAAATATTCATGAAAAAATTCACATCCGTCACAGTGAGGAGTGACACTTTAAACAGCCCATCACATGCTCAATACATCCAACTCAAAGAAACCCCACAGCACAGCTGTGTCCACTGTTCCCCCCAACACCCCACACACATCAGGCCCCCCAGGGTCTCACCTTTAAAGCCGTGAGAGACACATCAGAACCTTGGGCACTGTCACTGCCTGGAGTAGAACAAAAACAGGACCTGGTCAGATCAGTCTGGAGATGTGGCTAGAGGAGGAACTGTGGGGTTAGTGAGCTCCCCCATGGGCTCCCAACCACAATATCCCAAGGATCTCAGGGATCAGCCTCCTTCATACTTACTTGCAGCCTGAGAGTAGCTCCCGCCTTATCTATCTATGGGAAGAAAATGTCCTGTGAGATATCAGAAAGGAGTCAGGGCCATAAGGTCCTAGAGGAATCTCCTAGTCTTGGACCCCAGAGAAGTTTCCAGAAATGTGTGATTGCAGACCCAGGGCAGGATCAGGAAACATGAAGAAAGCAGGTGTGGGTCCTGGACCAACTGCCCTCCTGAGGTCTGTCCTCAGCAGGGACCTTCCCTTGTGACTTGTGACTGCTGGGATCAGGTCCCATCACCATAATCAAGGTGATAAATCTGTCCTTCATTTTAACAGGTGCTATACAAAAGAGTAGGTGCTGGCACACAGGGCCCAGGCTGGGTCAGCCCATGAGTGTGGATGGTGCTTCCCAGTAACCAGACAGGGCACACTTCTACCTGGGGCTTGAAACCCTCAGTGAGACAAGAAATCCCAGACCCCACTCCTCACCCCTTCCTCACCTGAGCTCTTCCTCCTCCACATCACAGCAGCAACCACAGCTCCAGTGACCACAGTTCCAAGCAGAACCAGGCCACCAATGATGCCCACGATGGGGATGGTGGACTGGGAAAACGGCTCTGCGAAAAGAGGGTAAGGTGAGTGGTCCTGACCCTGCTCAAGGTCTCTAGAGAGGCTCCGGCTTTCCCTAAAAGACATGACAGCCCCATCTCCCTCTTCACCGAATCTCAAGGTGAGGGGCTTGGGCAGACCCTCATGCTGCACATGACAGGTGTATCTCTGCTCCTCTCCAGAAGGCACCACCACAGCTGCCCACTTCTGGAAGGTTCCATCCCCTGTAGGCCTGGTCTCCACGAGCTCTGTGTCTTCAGTTTGTTCCTCTCCATCCCGCTGCCAGGTCAGTGTGATCTCCGCAGGGTAGAAGCCCAGGGCCCAGCACCTCAGGGTGGCCTCGTAGTCAGAGACGGGGTGGTGGGTCACATGTGTCTTGGGGGGGTCTGATGGGAAGAGTCAGAAAATTCAGTCATTTTGCATCTGTCATGGGACAGTCCACCAGCACACATGTGGCCATCTTGAGAATGAACAGGACACCTGGGGTGGGGAAGGGAGCACAGAACCCAGACACCATCCTGGACACAGGCACCTGGGAGAATCACCTATTCCGTGGAAAATTCTATTCCCTGAGGAAGGAACAGTGACTTCTGGTCCTGACCTGAGTGGAGGCTGAGGGACTCAGAGGAGCTGGACTCAGACCCCCACACACACAGAGTGTGAAGCAGAGAACAGGGCCTGAGAGGAAAAGTCACGGGGCCCAAGGCTGCTGCCGGTGTCAAAGGAAACCCCTCATCAGTATTCCAGGGATCGTCTTCCCTTCATTCCCTCAGAGATTTTATCCTTAATTGTGTCAGAGAGCAGGGCGGAACCTCAGAGTCACTCTCTGGTACAGGATCTGGAAACCCAGGAGGATTCCTCTCCCTCAGGACCAGAGGGAGGGCGATATTCTAGTGTTGGTCCCATTTGTCTCCCCTCCTTGTGGGAGGCCAGCCCGGGAGATCCACAGGCGATCAGGGAGGCGCCCCGTGGCCCCTGGTACCCGCGCGCTGCAGCGTCTCCTTCCCGTTCTCCAGGTATCTGCGGAGCCACTCCAGGCACTCGCCCTCCAGGTAGGTTCTGTGCTGCTCCGCC